TGAACTTATCTGCCTGCTTTATCATCAGTAAATAGTAATAACATTTTGCTTGTTACAGTGTTTTCCTTAAAAAATGATAAGAGTTATAGACTTGGCTAAAGATCAAAAGACTTCAAACTGTTCTTAGGAATATGTGATAGTTTTTTTTTTTTTACTCAATGCATATGCTGATATAATGCCACTGCTTGAAAACATAAAATAAAAAAGACCTGCTGAGACTGGTAGCAGATGACACTTGCACCTGAATGAGTGTTTGTGTCCCTCATTCACCTTCACCAGAAGCCTTCATTTCCTACAGGAACCTCTGTCACTCCAATTGTTGGAGCTGGTCTCTGGCACATTAGGTCCTCAGAACTTAGACAACTTCCTGCTGCAAATCTATACCCTTTAATCATATTTCCCCAAATTCTCCTCCAACTCACCCCTCCCCAAATACTCCAGCCTCTGGTAACCATTTAACTATTTTCTGTTTCTTTAGTTTGATTAAAAAAAATTTCATATATTTGTCTTTCTCTGGATAAATGTTTTTAGGGAGGGAAGAAACGTGGGAAGGAAGAAATGAAATTAAGAAATAAAAAAGAAGGAACACCTAGAAAGTCACAGAAAAATAAACTGTTGCCAATAGCAACAAAAAGCACTTTAATGCTGTATCATGGTCATCCTTTTTACTGCCGAAAATCATTCACCAAGGTGAATGCATTTGGGGTACTAAGCTCTTTCTATTGTTATGGTTGTGTCATTTAAACACACAGAACTTTAGGATGAACATCCAACACCTGAAAGTTCACACCATAATTTCAATGATAAATTTTACACTTGATTTCAGATATGTAATCCTTGATGTTAGTCAAGCCCCCTTCAGTCCTATAGCAACTTCCATGTTTGTGGGACTCTTCATGTCCTAGAGGACTAAGTATCTTCATAGTGCTACTAAATCTATATTTTGCTTGTTTAATTGAGCGTTAAGAAATTTTAAAATGAAGTAATGTATTTTAATAGTTTTATAAACAAATACTCTATTGCTGGGTTGGAGATCCAATATAGTGACAGTGAATGATACCCTCCCCCTTCCCTTGCCCCTTTGCACAAAATGTGGAAAACACCTGAATATTTATTAACTAGTTATTTGTGAAGTAGCCTTCAATATAGTTTTATAAGGAGTCATTTAGTGGTGATTACACTGAACTGCTCTAACAATATTCTCCAGCTGCTACCCAATCACTGGCCAAGCAATTCCCTCAGGGTTGCAATGAAGCATAAAGGTAGCATGCTGATAGTTTCTGCCCCTGCCAGACAGGAACCTAGAAAGATGTTCTTGTAGCCCAAGATCAGAAGCCATGGCATAGCCATAAACTTATAATATCTGAGGGGAAGAGAAAGAGAGAGAACATGAGCAAGTGAGCGAGAGAGAGAAAGAGAGACAGAGAGAGAGACAGAGAAAGAGACTGAGGCCCTCTTTAAAGGCTATACATGTAATAATCCTTTTTGTGAAATGTTGCACATCCATAAGAGAAACATCACTATATAGATCTCATTTTTTAGTGTGGATATCTGGATATAGATCACATTTCTACCTCAAAAAAAGATTATTGATTCCAGAAGATCTCAGGTTGTCCAAATCCATGTCATCGGACCACACTCGGGAAGACAGCCAGAGTAAGTTTTCCAGCTGGAATGACAAGTTAGCAATCAGTAAACAAGGCAGAGGTGATTTTCAATAATTTAAATAATATTCAAAAAGTAATATTTAAATTATTTACCCATTTTATAGCACCTGTTGTAGTAATTCAGAGAATAGTTAACTAAAATTTAAAGAATTGGAATCTAGCCATAACTTTACCAAACCAGTGAATCCTAAATATTTCAGTTTCTTTTCTGTACTTCATTTGTTTTAACAGTTAAATGAGTAGAATATACAACTGCAGGGCTTCACTTATGTCTTAGAGGATCTGAGGGATCCATTTAAAGATATTACACTAAATAAATTATTTAATTATCAGGAATAGGATTTTAGTCATTTTTAAAATATTCATGGCATGGTACCAGCACAATAAAGTGAAAGGATAAACAAATACAGGGAATTACATCCATGCTCTCTGCATTGTGTCTGGAATGTTTGCTTTTTGTTCTTTGCAAATGCTGACAAGAGAAACTAAGATTAAATCTTTTTCCTAGGGTTTTTCAGTCCTGATATTTGTTTTGTTTCAAATAATTTAGGTGGGCTCATGGAGTTAGATAAAGGAAACTTTGTTTCTTTAACTGTTGGAGTCCCATTGTAACTTTGGCATCATTCTAGAAAGACCACGTTTGAACTCAGCAGCTAGAGGATTTCAGATGTCTGACACTGATGCTTCTGCAATCTGACCACTGACATAATCATCAGGTAGATTTGCAGATCACTTACTGTTTTATGCCCATTAATTAATTTTGTGCTTGCATTATTCTCTCACAAGAACAGACTCTTAGGTTCATAGAAGGGAGGAAAACTGTATCATGATTACACAGCCTACTAGGCAGAACTGTGAGTCGAACCTAGTTCTCGCTTTATTATTATATTTTAAATTATCTATATATTTTACATTATACTTCATTTTGTACATTTTTTTATCTCAGTTGTAATCCCCATGGACCCCCATCACCACTTCACTTATGTGCCATCATCATAGTCTCATGTGCTCTCCTCCCCCCCGCATTTTGATCCTGTCCCCCTCTCTTCCCTCATAGAATGTCTCTGGTTTATAGTTGTTAGTTGATGTTCTTTTTTACTTTATTACAATCCTGTGCTCTTTTCCCAAAGAAAATGATAGCATGATCCTGAGTCTTAGACTTGGATTAATTTTGTGAACTAGTAAAGGGGATCCCTAATAAAGATGATATTGTCACTATTCAGGAAGAATAGAATGACTGAGATATAGATTATATCTGTCAAAGAACATATTTGTGTTAACCAATGAATTTTTCAAGATTTTGACAAGCATGGAAATACACATTAACTGGAATTAGGACATGAATGTCAAGGAAGTTAGTGTCCTAAGATAACTCCTATACGAGTTTCTCTGCCTCCTCCCTGTCAGCATAAACTCTACTCACAAAGATAGGTAAAGATAATTCTACGTTCACTTACAGGGTGCCATGGACATAAGTGCTTTATATATAACACACACTTAATCTTTACAACATATATCTGGTATGTGCTATTGTTAGCCATATTTTATACTTGTGATAACTGAGGCAAAAGGATGTTAAGTAATTTTCCTAATTCAGAGTATTAGTAAGTTGCAGAATCAGTATTTGATTGAACTGGTTTTCAGACTTATTCATTTAAACAGCTGAACTGTTTAATCAAGGTCCTCGTGCTATGGGAGTGAGTTTTCTTTATGAACCCCCAAATGATTCAAGATAAATTCCAGCTCCTGAACTTAATTAGCAAAACTTCATAATCTGAGCAGCACTTCCTTTTGAGCTTCATTTCCTGACACGATGCTTCATGAATTCTGTGCTGAACTGCATCATCCCTGTTGCCTTCCCCACAGAGGATGCTGTCATGATTGATACCCTGATACCCTTTGTCTTCATGTAGCATATTCACCTTCTTGAAGCAACTTTCCTGCTCTGTCAACTCTTTAGTGTCCACAGCATGAAATTCTCTGTATTTTCTGTTTTTTTTTTTAAGATTTGTTACTTATATTTTAAAAATTATTTATTTTTTACTTCTTAAAGATTTATTTATTCATGCATAGAGAACTGGGGTACAGGCCAGAGATGCCGGGGTGGTGAAAGGATTCACCAAAGGTAGACTGGGGAGTAGAACAGGTAGATTGACAAGTACACTGCTGCAGGGAGCAGCCGGAGAGACAGGAGAGGTCTGCCACGCCATGTGGGTCACTTCCCTGGCCGGGGATAGAACTCGCACTGAACAGGCAGCGGCTAGTTTCTTAGTGTTATGCTTTAATCAGCTGCACCTCCAGGGAGGGCCCATATTTTCTGATTAATTTTAACTGAACTTTCAAAGTCCAACTCAATGATGAACTTGTCTGGAAAAGGGTTATTGTCTCTCTGGAGACAATACCTAATCTCAGAGATTTGTGGTTAGTTGTGGGCTTCCTCTGTATGGTTGTCAACACAGATCAAATGAAATAAATGTCTAGATTGAACATTAATATTGCCTCATTTGGGATTTTTTTCATTATAAGTTTAATTTGAATGTGGGTGTGAAGGTCTTTCCAGTTGCAACTGTAGACCTCTCTATATATACCAAGTAAGATTAAAAAATAAAGCAAACTCTTCATGATTAGCAGAAAAGGAAACTTTTGATCATTACAGAAGGTTTAACACTTTCCAATGAGAAAGGGGATAGGTGACTTTGATGCCACTAGCCTCAGCATGGTGCACATTTGTGAAGCAAGAAAATTTTTCTAACTTAACTTAGAAATTGGAAACTAAGTTCTTTCTCAGTAGATTAAGTAGAATCTTATTCTTTAGAATTTATCTGTATTTTATTATATTAAAATATTTATTGAGGAATTTTAGAATTTTGATATCAGAGTCCTGCAAAATTTTATCTCTAGCCTCAAAATTAATTTATTGAGTAATTATTTAAGTGTTTTTTTTTCTCCCAAAGAGAATTTCTGATGAGAGAGGTAGAGAGATTAAAGAGAAAGAGAGAAGAGAGGTAAGAGGTGGAGAAAGATACAATTAGGGGAAAACACATTAAATATTTAGTCTAAAAGAAAAAAAATCTCATTCTCTACATTGTTGCTTGCTGTAGGCCTAAGTATACCAGATCATCAAATACAAGCCAACAATATGGTAAGAAAACTAATGATGAGAAACATATCCTCTAGCTATATTTAAGACGTGTGAATAATTTACGACATTAGCATCACTTAATTATTTTCACAAGAGGATTCCTGTTAGGCTTTATCATGCTTCCAATGGTTTGCAACATTTATTTTTTTGCAGAGAACCACAGCTACTCAGCTGGCCCTGTCTGGGTCCCCATGGAGGTGGCCAACAATGTCACTGAGTTTATATTCCTAGGGCTTTCCCAAGATCCAGGAATGCAGCTGATGTTCTTTGCCCTCTTCCTCCTCTTCTACATGGTGATCATGGCGGGTAATCTGCTCATTTTGCTTACGGTCCTTTCTGATCGCCGGCTCCACACACCCATGTATTTCTTCCTCAGCAACCTGTCCTTTGTGGACATTGCTTATTCCTCAGCCACGGCACCCAAGATGATCGCAGATTTTATTTCCGAGAAAAAGACTATTTCCTACTGGGGCTGTGTCACCCAGATGTTTACCTTCCACTTCTTTGGCTGTGCTGAGATTTTTGTTTTGACCGTCATGGCTTTTGACAGGTATGCCGCCATCTGCCAGCCTCTCCGGTACACCACCATCATGAGTGCCAATACCTGCATTGTACTGGCGTCGCTGTCCTGGTTAGGAGCCCTGGCTCATTCCTTTGTCCAGACCCTCCTGACCTTTCAGCTGCCCTTCTGCAACGCTCAGGTCATTGACCACTACTTTTGCGATGTTCACCCGGTTCTTAAACTTGCCTGTGCTGATACCACCCTGGTGAATATGTTGGTGATTGCCAATAGCGGTCTCATTTCCCTGGGGTGTTTTCTCATTCTTATGACTTCCTACACGGTCATTCTGTTCAGTCTCCGCAAGCGGTCTGCAGAGAGCCGGCGCAAGGCTCTCTCCACCTGTGGGTCTCATTTCACTGTAGTAACGTTATTCTTTGTCCCCTGCATCTTTATTTATCTCCGTCCCTCTACTACTTTTCCGCTGGATAAGGCTGTGTCTGTGTTCTACACAACCATTACCCCGATGCTAAACCCACTCATCTACACTTTGAGGAATGAAGATGTAAAGAATGCCATGAAACGATTATGGAATCACAAGGTTCTGAAGGGAAAGCAGAAGGGGTAGATTGTCAAAAATGTTGAATCAGGGGATTAGCTGATGGCTCCTACATTATTAGCAATTTTAAGGAATTGTCTCTAAAATTCAACTACCTTGTACTTTTCACGTAGAGGAGAATAAGTTGAAGCTTTATCATTTCTTTGCCTTCAGCAGGGCTAAATTACAATTTCCATACTGTAAGTTTTAATGTCTTCTTCTCCCTTCTAGAATGGGAGAGTAAACATTCCTACTCATATGGCATTTAACTGCTTGCACTAACTTCATTTAAATCATACTATCTTAAACTATAATTTAATGATTTAGAACGGGGTTCGATGAGTAAGATATCTTCAAGAATTCAGAAGGAAAAGCAGGAGTTCCTAGGAGTTGCCCTCTCATCTCCTCCTCCCTCCTTCCTTTCTTCCCAACATCTTTCCTATCCTTCCCTCCCCTCCTCCTCTCTGTACCTGTCTCTCACTCATCTTTCTTTCCTAGTCTTTCCCTCAAATATTACATAGTCTGGTAGGAGAGATAGGCCCATAATAAATAAATAATAATAATATTACAATAGAACAAACAGAAAATACAGACATAAGATAGCACTACATTTAAGAGGTCAGTATGAACCACAAGCTGCCCAGAGGATGATTGCTGTGTAGGGGAAAATAAGGGATCATTTTACATCTTTTGGGTGCAGAGTAATTTTTTTAAAGACCTATTGGAGATTTTGAGTTTTAAAGACCTTACTGGAGAACCTCCTATCACCCCAGTATTATATTATTTTCATTGACAGTAAATTTACTGTTTTCAGTAATATACAGAACAGATTGATTAAAGCAACTAAAATGACTTGACATTTGAACTTTTGAAATGACGAAGTCAATGTGCATTTGTATTGCAGATTTTTAGTTAAAACTTTTCAATTATTAAAAAGAACAAAATTGATCAAGCACATTTCTTTTTGTTGTGTTCTTGGTAAAGTGGGAGATAATGAGTATTTTCAAAATAAAAAGACATTTTATTCCAAGCAAACTTTTAAGATGTTTTATAATTTATGTCTTGCAAAAATTCTTCCCTATTTGTGTTCAATACATACTTTTTCTGTGTTCAATGTTTACTTTTTGTATATTTAAGTGCTTCTGTATACAGTTTATAAAATGAGTTCACACACATTTTCTCTGGTTTGTTTTTTTAAATGGATCTTACTTCGCTTCCATAACTTATTAAGAATGTAAATAATATATTGTGCTTCTTCCATTTTCCCCGGCACATACCTATATCCACAGTCAATACTTGTGACAAAATCTGCTGATTGTTACCCCAATCTTCATTGTTCTGTTTTTCCTTAGTCAAACAGACTTAGCATTATTTATGGTGACAACACTAAAATATTGCATGTTTTCTCTTTGCAGCTAAGGGAGAACAAAATGATGTTAATGACAGCGGGCAAGAGGGACTTTTGTAAATACTTTCAAATTTATATGAACTTCAATTCTCATACATGATCACCATTAGCATTTTGTTGCATTTTCCTATAGTTATTTTTCATATTATCCTTCCTCTGCATAAAAGGATCACTCTAAAGTTCTTGCAGCTATCTACTTTAAAGATAACTAATAAATCATTTAAGTTATGCTGATAGTCTCAGATTACATTAATTTTATGTTTTCCTCTGAAAGTCTAAACAAGATAATAATAACAACAGCAGAAGCAATGGTATTAGAAACAATACTATGAAGGAAAAAATTTAGACTCAAAGATTGAGACAGAAGTTAGATATAGACAAAAGACTCCAACAAATGTTTGGAAAAGAGAAGACAAAAGTAGCAGAGGAGATAAAGCTAACTCTACAGCACTAGAAGACTGAGGAGGAATACATTTATTTTCCAGTGTCCCTGACCTTTTTGGTGTGCCAGGAAATCAGGCAGGAGAGAGTGTGGAGTTCAGGTATTCTAGGAAAACTCTTTGGGTGCTTAAGAAAAAGAAATGGTTCACACTCCCACTTTCCCTTTCCATTTTACCTTCAAGTGCTCACACAGGCATATGTGTAAGCAGAATATTGCATTAGGAAATTAATGGGCATAAGAGAAAGGTTTTTCAAATTCTGCCTTTGCAGTTTACAAATAGAATGGTTGCTTATAGTAAAACCCTCACCAGAAGCCTACCAACTAGTAAGCTCTGCTCTATAGATTGAGCTTTTTGAGAAATTTTTGATTCTTCATTTTTTAACACACACAAGCTATTTCAAGGTAAAAATAACAAATAACACACAATCTATTTCAAGGACAAAAGTAATCTGGTTGATTAGAGCTAACAAAGGAAAAATATCTTTAAAAAGTTCACATCTTCACACTGATGAAATAAGAATATGTTATTTAAAAGAGTAACATTATTTTTGGAAACTAAATAAAATTAAAGGAAAAAGAAATTTAAAACAAATCAGAGAGGGTGGAAAGATAGAGTCCAAGAAGTTTCTATGAAAATAGTATAAATGAAATAAAACAAGTAGAAAATAGAAAACACAAGAAATATAAAATAACAAGTCAAGAGAAAAAAAATTTACTTATGTTTATTCCAGGAAAACATGAAAGGATATTATTTGAATATCCTTTGAATTTGACATGATGGAAGCCTATATCTCATAAAAGCAAAAAAGGAGAAGAGATAGGATCAGGACATCTGCGCAGAGCATGGCCAATCCGCTTTAAGATGAAAATTGTGTTGCAAGCCCAGGAGTCTGGAGAAGTGGATGAGAGCATAAGGATAGAAGCCCCAGGAAGGGGAGCTTCCAAGCTTCTGCAAAACAGAGAAGAGAGTGGGATTTTATATTATCTAAGATCATGTTGGAAAATTTTAGTTATACATGTGTAGTAACAGGGTGGAATGAGTTGATGTATTTACAATTACACTTACAGACAATTATTTTTCATCATTTTAGATCCAAATAGAAAACTGATTATGCACTCAGAATAATTCAAACATGGTTTATTCAGAAAGAGTCTCTAAAATATGGAAGAGCAATATGAGACAGACCATTATCAGGAGATAGAAATAACAGAGGTGTTAATATTATTGTCACCCCTGAAGGGACGGGGGAGTAGATACAGACACCCAAAGTGTGGCTGTCATTTGTCACCAACAGTTTATCCCTTTTCCCCGTTTCATCACTGGTAACCTCCACATGTAATCTGTTCTCATGTATCTAAGAGATAGTTACTGTTTTTTGTTGGTTCACTTGATTTGTTCCTTTATCTTCCACATGCGTGAAATCATATGATATTTGCCTTTCTCCTTCTGACTCACTTCAGTTGTATTCCCCTTTTATCCTCCTTTCAGTTCTCCCCTTTAGCTTTGTAACAAGAGGCAAAAGGTCATCTTTTTCTAATGTTGCAGTTCAGTACTATTCCATTATGCATGTATATCATATCTTCTTTACACATCCATTCTTCTTACTGATTATTTAAATGAAATTTAATGTTATTCTATTGAGAGGATGAAAGAAGAGTCTTTCAAAAGGTTGTGTTTGAGAGCTAAATTCTTTTTTTTACCTTAATTTCAATTTTTTATTACCCTTTTTTATGTGAATTCAGTTTCCTTTACAATTTTACACTTTATAGCCATACAATGAATCTGAATAAGCATATAATACAAATGGGAACTGTTTACACCTGTCAAAATTCAATAAGTACTGTATTAAGTTCAACACTAAAAGTCCAGAATATTCTTACATAATTTGTGAGAGCTAAATTCTTATTCTACCACTATAGGAAGTCAAACAATGTTTAAAAGGGATATGTAAAACACAACTGTGTGGGTATTTTATTTAGAACTATAGCTATAAAACAAGTAGTAATTTTTAATAAGTGGAAGAATATAGGACAGAATTTCTGATTTAAAACTTTATTTTTGATGTTTATAATTGTATTATACTCATTTAAAGATCACACCTGTGAGGAGAAGTCCTATGTTGTGAGAACAAACAAGGATGTGAAATTATGATGTGATTAAAAAAATTAAAAAAAACTGTGAAAAACAAGTCTCTATCCAAATACAGTTGATTGATGTAAAGCAAAAATTAACTTTCTTAAAAAAAGAGAAAATAAGTATCAGTATCTGCTGTCACTAAAAATTTCACAAAATTACATTTAATGGCTATATGGTATTATATTAAATTCGTAAGCCATTCAACTCATAAGTTGGATTAATTTGTATTTATCCCACAGATATCACTAACTGTTCAATCAGCACCCTTGCATATATGTGCCTGTTTATCCAAGATGATTACTTGGAATATATTTCTGGAAGATAGAGTTTGTTTTTTTTTTTTTTACAAAGGCTATCATACTCTGATTCATGGTACACACCTTTTGCCATTTATCAGCTGGTAAACATTACAGATTATTTTGTTTCCTTTTTTGCAAATTAATAAGTGAAGCAGAGGATCTCTTT